TTGTTGTTGTTGTTGTTGTTGTTGTTGTTGTTGTTGTTGTTGTTGTTGTTGTTGTTGTTGTTGTTGTTGTTGTTGTTGTTGTTGTTGTTGTTGTTGTTGTTGTTGTTGTTGTTGTTGTTGTTGTTGTTGTTGTTGTTGTTGTTGTTGTTGTTGTTGTTGTTGTTGTTGTTGTTGTTGTTGTTGTTGTTGTTGTTGTTGTTGTTGTTGTTGTTGTTGTTGTTGTTGTTGTTGTTGTTGTTGTTGTTGTTGTTGTTGTTGTTGTTGTTGTTGTTGTTGTTGTTGTTGTTGTTGTTGTTGTTGTTGTTGTTGTTGTTGTTGTTGTTGTTGTTGTTGTTGTTGTTGTTGTTGTTGTTGTTGTTGTTGTTGTTGTTGTTGTTGTTGTTGTTGTTGTTGTTGTTGTTGTTGTTGTTGTTGTTGTTGTTGTTGTTGTTGTTGTTGTTGTTGTTGTTGTTGTTGTTGTTGTTGTTGTTGTTGTTGTTGTTGTTGTTGTTGTTGTTGTTGTTGTTGTTGTTGTTGTTGTTGTTGTTGTTGTTGTTGTTGTTGTTGTTGTTGTTGTTGTTGTTGTTGTTGTTGTTGTTGTTGTTGTTGTTGTTGTTGTTGTTGTTGTTGTTGTTGTTGTTGTTGTTGTTGTTGTTGTTGTTGTTGTTGTTGTTGTTGTTGTTGTTGTTGTTGTTGTTGTTGTTGTTGTTGTTGTTGTTGTTGTTGTTGTTGTTGTTGTTGTTGTTGTTGTTGTTGTTGTTGTTGTTGTTGTTGTTGTTGTTGTTGTTGTTGTTGTTGTTGTTGTTGTTGTTGTTGTTGTTGTTGTTGTTGTTGTTGTTGTTGTTGTTGTTGTTGTTGTTGTTGTTGTTGTTGTTGTTGTTGTTGTTGTTGTTGTTGTTGTTGTTGTTGTTGTTGTTGTTGTTGTTGTTGTTGTTGTTGTTGTTGTTGTTGTTGTTGTTGTTGTTGTTGTTGTTGTTGTTGTTGTTGTTGTTGTTGTTGTTGTTGTTGTTGTTGTTGTTGTTGTTGTTGTTGTTGTTGTTGTTGAAAGCACTCCTGCTGCTGCTGCTGCTGGACTGGAAACCACCACTTACGGTGATTGGATGAGCACCGTTCAGTGGGACCGCATCAAATTCGATTTTTAAGTCTGTGTTAGGGAATGCGCTGTTTTCAGACATCTCACCATTGCAACAGTTGGACATTTGATATTTTTCAATAGTGACCTATTGATAATTAACTTAGTATTCATTTTAGCAGATTGGTAGATAAATTTCCAATCGTTTGGCTTGTTTAGAATTAAAATCTGTCTGATATTGGTCGAAACCTGACCTCTTTTCGTAATGCTGTGCATTTTGGTTTTTTTGAAATTGCGTGGATTCTATAGATCCTGTAGAGATCTATCTAGCCCTGATGTATGTGTTGGTAGAGGGGAAAAATGTAAACTTTGCGGGAGACGATGTCTTTTTCATTGTATACAGTGTGATAATTCAATAATCAATAAATTATCTCAACATTTAGTGGCAAACCATTCATAAATTTTGGTAACATACAAAAAATTCTATAATCCACATTAAATTTCATATGTAAGCGCCGATTGAAACAATCTTTTCGACGTCACTACAAGGGTGATTGATTAAACAACGAAAGAAACGAATCGTGCGGAATGAAAGCCGATGAAAAACTAATTGCACTAATATATTCAGGCCTACAATTCCACACTTTCTATAGACAGGTTGAGCCTTGATAGCTAGCTGCTTGCGGGAACTGATGACCTTGACCAATGTCCAAATAATACTCTTTAACAAATTTTTGGTGGCCCTGAAAAGGACCGTTGTGTAGTGATGGTTGAGTAATTCTGAGCTGGGTGTTCAACACGGATGAGGCTGTCGAGCTGTATGTCGTTTGGAGCGAGGGTGACATGCATGGCATAGATGACCGACCAGCAGCGACTCACGAAGAGCTGCTGATTCCGATCCATATGCATGTAGGTAATTGGTGGATTTGTTAGTTAATTCGACGCTTTTGGACAATGCTTAACATTTACCACTTTTTGAATAGCTTCTTGTTTAAAAAAAATCAACAGTCGGAAGCATTGTTATCGATGCGTAGCCTTATTTCTGATCGATTGGTGATAAAATTATTGAAATTGGACCAGGGGCAGCTGAGTTATTAACGTTCAAAATCATTCTTAATTTGTTACATGTTCCATTTTCGGTTTTCACAAAATGTACCCCCATATAGAAATCAAAGACGTAGTCCTACGTCAAAAAAAAATATGCGAGAACTTTTAGCAAGAAGCGATATCTTCAAATAACTCCTGAGAACGTCTAATTAATTTAGATATTTTTAGATAGTTCCATGATATTCAGCGAAGTTCCGAGTACTTCGAGGACGATCAGATAGCTTCAGTAATATAGTGACGATAATTTAAGCGCTGTTCCATGAACTTCAGAAAATTCTTGAGAACTTCAGTGAATATCATAGAACTAAGAGAAATGGCTCTAATGTTGGCCTATGGATCTAAGATTGGGCCCATCACTAAAAATCTGCTATTTATCGATTTTATCTAGATGAACGCGTCATTGGGACGGTACTAATGGATATGTTTGGTCACTATTGAAAATTTATTCGATTCCTAAATTTATGTATGGGCCCAAATTAGGGGCATTTAGGCCGACATTACATCCATTTTCCCTGTATTAATTATTTCGTTTTAATTCCATGAAAATTTCGGGAGCACAAACGTTCCAGAAATTTTGAAAAACTTCGAAAACTTCACAGAAGAACAGTGGTCTTCAGAAACATTTCGAGAACTTCTTAGAAATCTATGGAGCTTAAGGGGAGATCAGCGAACTTTTTTTATGAACCTTGGAAAAATGCGGGAGCTTTTGAAAGAAGTTTAGTAAGCTCCACAAATTGGAGGAATCTCAGGGGGAGTAGTTCCATTAGTTTCAGACAATTAGTGAGAAATTTAAAGCAGTTCAAAGATTTTCAGATAACTTCAGAGACGTTAAATTGAGTTAATTAAATTCAGCGCAGTACAACAAGCTTCATTAAAACTGCAAAAACTTTAGAGAAGTTTTGAGAATTTCAGAAAAGAACAGAAAACCTCCGAGCAGTTCTGTTAACATTAGAGAAGTCACATAAATTTTAAAGAAGTTTAGAGAACTTCAGCGAATTTTTAAACCTTTATAGGAGATCCATGATCATTAGAAAAATTTAGGAAACTTTATGAAGTTCTAAAATTTCAGGAAAGTTTAAGAATTTGATGAGAAGTATTTTGAGTATCAGACTAGTTTCTCAAACTACAAAAGAACTTGAAGGTAGTTTCATTAACTTCAGGAAAAAATTAGAAACTTTCAAATAGTTCTGAAGAATTCAGAATAGTTCATTCCATATTCAACGGAGATTTCCATTGAAATATTCCCAAAAAATTTGATGAAGCTATCCTCTGAATTCATTTTTTTTTAAGTTTTCCTCGGAATAACCTTGAAATTATCCACAATAAGAAACCCTCCGAATTTTCATTGAATTGAATTCATTTTAGATTTCCTTTTGAATCTCACTCCTTCCCTTGGCATTCTACTCACATTGAAAGTCTCATAAGAATTCATTGGCATTTCTCCTCACAAATTCCTTAGATTTCTTCTCATAATTTGTTTGGCAAGCTCTCCTGAATTTATTTTCCAAATTCCTTTGAAGATGTCCTGGAGTTATTTTCATATTTAATTGTATTGATATTTTCAAAAAAAATCCAAGGACTTGTGTTCCGGATTCATTTTCTCTCCTAATATTTATGAAATTATCCTCAGAATGCCATTGGATTTTTCCTCTGAAGTTCACAGGAGTTGTGCTCCTCAGAAATGCCTAAGAGTTTTCATTAAAATTTACTTTTAACTCAATTCAGGGTTTCTCGAAATTCTACTCAAAACTATCAGGATTCACATAAAATTTAAAATTCCTCAGAACTACCTTGAAAGCAGATTGCATTTGATGTTTTTATGAAAGATTTTTTTCCTTAGAACTCCCTTGGAATGAGGTTCTTAGAAATTATAATAAAATTCCACGAGCCTTTAAAACTGTGCATGGAATTTGACTCCAGATTCTTGAAAATTTCTTGAAGTATTATAGCTTTTGAGTCCAGAACTAGTTCAAATTTAAAATTTCTAGGAAATATGCATGTTCCAAAACCCAAAAAAAAAACATTTCAAGCCTTTGTTCTTATTTTTCTTCTTCTTTAAAATATCCTTAGTAAGAAAATTATTAAATTCTCTGAGACTTACAATTTCCCGAGGATTCCCGGTTTCCTTAGTAGACACCCTGCCATCATAACGACTACTTTTTTTTCTCTTAGGTCACTTTTTAGTCACTATTTTAACAACTATAAATCAATATTTGGTCACTTATTTCTTCAACATGGTCACTAAAAACACTATTTTTGACAGCAGTGATCGCTACCAGCCCTGTATACGCTGTGATGGGCAATACACTCAACAGATGGCTGTAGTGTGTAAACTAAACGTCAACTACTATCAACAAAGAAACATTCAAATTGACCGTTAAAGCGATTTCGATGAACATCTGAAGCATGTTATGTCTGCTTGTCTGTGACCTTCACTATCGCAACTCCGCATTCTCTCATACTCGAAATGTGCCACGACCAAATTGGCACAACGACGCCCTACGCTCTCTGACCAAAAAAAAGAACCATTTGTATGCTTTTATTTTTTTAACTGACTTTTTTATAAAAAAAAACTTAGCATTTGTTTACAATCATTACACGAAATACCAAACGATACAGCTATTATACTCCGCACACCATTATCATTCTGCTCCTGCTATTTCGTAGCTCATGTTGAATAAGACGTTCTTCCATTAATACTTTACAACCACTCTGCAATTCAACCAGCACTTGGTCTCACTTGTCGATCGGAAAACCCGCCATTTTCGTAGCACTTCAAATTAGCTTGCCGGATAGCATCGAACTAATTCCCACATCTCTTCACCCCGTTCTATTTCAACAGGAGACTGCTGTAAGTCATGCATGACCCGGATACCGTACGCTACGCTGATAGCGACGGTCATGTGCCTTATCGGAGTGGCCATCTTCTGCGGGACGATGTACCGCGGTACCTCGCTTGCCATCATCATGCTCGATCAGGTCTTTCATCTGCGACTTTTGTGGTAAGTCTCCTTCTCTGTGGCGATGCATCCGTCAATTGTGATTAATTTGTGTGTGTTTTTTTTTTCCACCAGGATTGAGGCAGTTCAAATGATCTTCGTGGTGATCGGTGCATCGATGGCCGCTCTGGGGTTAATGATTCTGTTTGTTGGCTTCCTGGCGACAGGAGCCACCCGGTACAAGGTCTACCGGGCTTGGGGTTCCCGCGTCGGTGGACGTATCTCCTGTGCAGTGTTCATGGGAATCACGTACCTGCTGAAGATCGTGTGGATTGTGATTCTGTGCTTCCTTAGCATTGTGACGTTTGTATTTACAGTCTTTTGGAACATGTGCGAGAATCCAAACGTGCAGTCGCATCGGAACTGTATCGATTTGACGCAATTTTGTAAGTTCTATGAAACAGTGTATTTAGCTCAGAATGGGGGTGTTAATGAGTTCGATAATATTTGCAGATTTCATGTTCCCAGCCGGGGTTAAACAAGAGGACATGAACATTTGCGAGCAGAGTAAGGTGAAGGCCTTCTGCAAGGATGGCGTGGAAAAGTGCGAAATCATGTTCATCCTGGCCACCGTCAGCTGCCTGCTGATCATTCTGAGCTTTGTGCACTATCTGATGTGCCTTGCGGCCAACTATGCGCACATTCGGGACCACGAAAAGTTCCAGGAACTGCAGGAGATCCAGAATCTGACCGAGATGGAGTACACGGCTTCGTCCAAGGATCGGTTCTAGGATACGGCCCAGGAGATTTATATTGAGCACAGCGCCTGATGTCGATTTGGCGCTGCTTCACGACCAGCTTACGTTTAAGTTTACGTAAAACCAGCTTCCTTTCCCGGGAGCTGGTAGCCTTTAAGTTGATCTTATCTGTTTACCGCCTCCGTGGTAAGTCTTTCTATAGATTTAATTTGTTTTCGGATCGCCTGTTTTCTCAAACGAAATTTTGAGACTATTGATTTGTCGCTGACCAACCTGCATAAGTTTATCCGTCCGTTTGGGAGGTACAATAGGGTACCTTCTTTTATCATCGCAATCATTCCATACTTTATTACTGGCCCCTGCTCAATATAGGTACTCCTGGATTCATAATTAAGTGTACGACGTTACAATTTCCTAATACATGAGTGGTTTGATATCTCGAGAACTCCCAGTGATTGCGCGAAGTTCTTAAATTTCCAATTTGTTCGCTCATTTGGTTGTTTCTAAATGTAAGATTCATTAAATATTATGTAAATTATCCTTAATCAATTGGACATGGTAAGCAAAGCATGTTGAGAACTTTGTAAATTTGAAATAATTATTAATCTAAAAATTCAGCAGAACGCATTTTTTTCGATTCGTTTATTTGCTCAAATGCTTTTCCCTACGAAGTAAATCTATTACATACTAACGATGGAAATTTAAGAATCTCGTTCAATAGGGTAGTTCAGACCAAAACCATTCACATACGTTAAAACGAACAATCAAAGAGCATAAAAAGAGACATCATACGAAGAGCACAAATAATATTCGCGCATACTATAAATGCTGACTTTCCGCTAGAGAAAAAAAAGACCAATAAGGCTGACAATAAAACAACATTTTTCATCATAACCGTTTTGCATCCTGGTTACCAGAACAAGCCCTCAAAGAAAAAATATGTTTACGAAATGGTTGTCGTAGAACGAAACGGAACACGACTTTTTTAACTGACAACCCCGCATCCTGTAGAAACAGATATAGTACATCCGACACAACTGGAAACATATCTTCTTAAAATCAGAACAAACGACCCATACAAAGCCCTACATACCCGAATACAATTTGCCCGACCTCTCTGACACCGTGTGATATCGTAGAAACCGCAGAAGATAGTGAAATGGAAAGGACTATATTTTTGTAGTTTGATCATGCGTGAAAAGCGAGTACAAGTTATAGAGCAGTATTTTTGCTAGAGATCCATCCCGTGAACCCGCGCCCCCGGAACCGAAGTGAATCTATTTATAGAAAAGCACAACAATATGATTGTATGAATGAGCACACTAGAGCAACAGTAGATAGTGGAATCAGAACCGGCATGGCAAACATTTAGTAATAATCATCCATACCGTACTAAGGACGTGCGTAGTTTTTGCCTGTATATTTACAGCTTTTTGAACGTAATTTTAAGTCACCCAATCGTAGATGTGTACAATCCCCCGGAAACAATCATCCAACTCTCTCCATCATGATCATTGTCTATAATCGCATTTATCGTTCGTATGCACATTCGTATTTAGTCGACTGAATCGTATTATCATTAATCGACTCAAATATTCTATCAGTATTCGTTAGACCTTTTGAAACCATTCGCCATTCCAGATATTCATATTCATTACTATCATTAACATCACGCTATTATTCCAACAAAACTCACTGTCAGATACCTGTGAATTGTGCTGCTTTCAACCTAACTTACATTTAAGCAATACGTTTGTGAATCGTTCGTTCTTTCAATCGTGTCTGTTAGATGTTAACCCCCTTCCCCTCTCCCTCCCTCGCCATTTGACGCGTAATTCAAAAGCATTTACCTTCTACGAATGCCAATATTTTTTAACTAGAAGTTCGCTCTTGATAACCACAAACATGCTTATTTGTCTCCTCTTCTATATTCTCAACATACACTAAAATCACCCATCTCTCAATATATTCTGACGTAACGCGATGAATTAGGGTTAATTTATTTGAGATCGATCAAATTTCGAAAAGAATCAAATTCAAGACAAAAAAAAACAAAGTAACACAAAAATCATGCAAATAGTTTCGGGACAGAAGAACTCGCCGATGACGTTTGATATAGATATAGGATAGTTTTTGGTCCTTGTATTTGGGGCGATAAGTATTGAAAATAAATGCATAACCTTTCAAGGATCGTTCGGTAACCTTTTGGTGCCAGTAAAATGAGGATCCACGTGTTGTTTAACGGAGTAGACCGAAAGAAAACCTTCACTCTGCCAATTAAGCTGGGTTTAGACAGGGCAAGCTAATTGATCAAGTCAGTTGAATTCAGCTGACTTGAACACGAATTGAACGTGTAAACCATGCCATTCAACTGACTTTATCAACCCACTTGAATTGAAAAAAAATTGAACCAGGCTCAACTTTTCAAGCCAATTGAATATTCTGAGCTGATCATTTGACTTGCCTAGTCTAAACCCAGCTTTAAGTTTTCCACGTCCGGTTGTATTGGTGCGATATGTGAGAGCGTGTTAGTGAAATTCCGAGGAAAATACATAACAAATCGCTGTCAATCTTATTTTGTGATCTATCACATATGGAAAAAGTAGGCGTTGAGAAAATGGCAGTCGAAGTTACGATGTGTAATTCCCATGTATTGATTTGGAAAATCATATTGATAAATTTTTCAAGTTTTAATCAGTGATAATGTATTTTGCATGTTTTGTTATATCAGTGAAAAATATAACAATTCAAAAAGCAGAACAGTAACTTGACCTCTGGACGATTTAATTTCAGGATGGGACTGATATGCGATTGCTTTGCTTGATGGGACAAACTGACTTGATGGTGTTTTCACATGAGTAGTTCCACACAGATTCGCAAATCGTTTCGAATCGATGTTTATAGAATTACTTGTTATTTTACACAGTTGTTTATTACTGTCCAAAATGTCATTTTACATATTTGGTTCCCTAGTTTTGTACACGAATAACACTTGAAAAGGGCTTATGCAAAAATGATACGCATCAATAGAAAAAGTAGAAGGGTCTGTGCCTAGGGGCACGAACGGAAGCTTGATGTAGGAACGCTAGTGACGGAATAAATGTGAAGAGCATTAAGTTCTTTTAATTGATCAATTATCTATTATCTCAACTCTTTCCGTTTTTGAATTGTAGGCGTACCAAATTTGTAGTAATCTTTTTCAAAGAGATAGTTGATTAAGAGAATCAATCAAAATCACCTGCGCCCCTGCTTCCAAGTTTGAGTGGTCGTTGGGGGCTTGTGGTTCTGAATATGGACAAACAAATAAATTCACAGATAAATTCTATTCCAACTCTTTACTGATGTAAGCTTGATGGCCCTGAAAAGGGCCGTTTTATTGAAGAGGACATCCATGGCCACATACGCTTGGCGTGTTTAGTGTAAGTGACAGCATCACGGACCTCATTTTCCAGGAACACCTTCAGTACACCTCGTAGATCAGACCGGAGATACGTCAGACACCGCCACGGCGAGCCAGACGACGGATGGTGGTTATCTCGAAGAATTTGCGATGACGATTGGCACCTCCTTTGCCACGACCAGTCAATTGTTGCTTGTTGTGTTATAGCACCACCTTCCTACTGTTGCTATTGCTGACCACGCCGTCCGAAGTGAAAATGAGCTGATACCTTTTTACTGACTGACTTAAATGATCTATATTTCTTGAATTTGTGTGGTTTACATGTATAACTTATCAAGTGACACAGATGCGTCTTTTCAACTTTAGTTCCTGTGAAATTTCAATTATTATTAATTACAGTTCCTAGTCCTATCAGGCCTGTTTTAGAGAATGACCACCTTGGTGGGATTGGTTTGTTTGAAAATTTGAAAAAGGAGACTACTTATAACTACTATTTACAACTACAACTAACCTACAACTACTATGTACACCTAACCTACTATATACAAATTGCTTATCAAAGCATGTTCTGATAAATTACATTTTTGTGCAAATTTAGTCTTAATTTCGTTAATTTTGGGATCTATTTTGGCAATGCCTGCCTCTTCATGTAAATTTGTTATTCTAGTGTCGAAAGGACGATCAAGAACCATCCTCAGCACTCTATTCTGAGCGACCTGAATTTTGTTCCTGTGAGTCTGTGCACATGATTCCCACACCGGAGCTGCGTAGAGGATCGCAGGTGCTATGATTTGTTTGTAGACGGCCAGTTTGTTCACCCTTGAGAGGCGGGATCTGCGGCAAATCAGCGGAAACAGACACCTAACCAAGGTAGAACACTTGACTACTGTTTTCTCTACATGCGAACGGAAGAGGAGCTTTTCATCGAACAACATCCCGAGATAGGTAACTTCGGTAGACCACTCAACCCTTGTGCCATCCATGATTACAGTACAAGATGGAGCCGGTTTCAGTTTGGGCGATTGCCGATGGAGGAACATGATCGCTTGTGTTTTGGTGGCATTGATTTTGATTTTCCACGTGGTGGCATAATCAGCAAAGGCGTTAAGGCATCGTTGAAGTTTGTTCGTTATTTCGCGAGGCATCCTTCCTTTGACGGCTATTGCGGTATCATCTGCGAACAGGAAAAACACGCAACCGTCTCCAAGGGGAGGAATGTCGGAAGTGTAAATGCTGTAAAGCAAGGGGCCCAGCAGACTACCTTGCGGGACTCCTGCTGGGATCGAAAACGTGTCTGAGAGACAACCATTCAACGATACCTTAAACGACCTTTGCTGGAGGTAGTTACGGGTGATTTTAATAAGATGTAAAGGAAAGTTGAAGTTACAAAGCTTGTACACAAGTCCAGCTTTGTTACTTCGGATGTTATTCATCACCCGTACTAGCTGATGATTGGTGGAGTGCCCCTTTCTGAATCCAAACTGTTCCGGAAGGAGAATGTTGTTTTCCTCGACAAACTTGAGCAAACGATTGAGAATGAGTTTCTCGAACAATTTGCTCAGCGCTGAAAGGAGGCTGATTGGTCTGTAGCTTGAAGACAATGTTGGATCCTTACCGGGTTTGCGGATCGGTATGATTTTTGCTACTTTCCAGATGCTTGGAAAGTAGTGCAGTTCCAAACATCTGTTGAAGATAGCGGTTAGAAGAGACTGCACTTTCATGCTGAGTCTCTTCAAGATCAAGTTGAATATACCGTCAAACCCGGGAGCCTTCATGTTCTTGGTGCATTTCAGCGCTGAGCAAATTTGTTGTACTGTAATCATATCCGCCGGAGGCACGACACAAGGGGAGGTATCTAGGTTTTGAACGCATTGCGCAACCTGATCATCGAGCGGACTTTGGATAGTCGAGCCAAGCAAATGCGATGAAGCGACATGCTTGCCGATCGCATTTGCTTTCTCCTGTGGGGTAATTAAAAGCCGATCGTCATCATTTTCGACTTTGAGAGGTGGAACGGGTTTGGGATGATTTTTAAGGACCTTGGCTACCTTCCAGAATGGTCTGGAGCGGTCATCCAGATTCTGGACAACACGCCCGAAACTTTCATTTCGGAGTGAGTCCATTCTGGAAGCAATCTGCCTATTCAGATCGGCCATTTCACGTTTTTTGCCCAGATCTCCAGTCCTCTGAAACTGGCGTCTACGAACATTTCTCAACCGAATCAGTAATTGGGTGTGGGAATCAATAGCAACAAACTTACCCCTCACAGGAACTTGTCGAACGTATGCCTCGTCAGCCATGGATATGGCCTGTTGGAGCCCTTCCAACGTCCGGTCGATGTCATCTACGGTGTTGAGTAGTGGATTTTCATCGATGTTGCTGTCCACCATTCGTCCGTACTCTGCACCCAGTTGACATGGTGGTAGTCTTTACGCAGGTAGCTTCTAGCAGGAACCACATTGACACCGACTTCAGTCACCACCGGTTGGTGGTCGGAGCTGAGATCGTTGTGCGCCTCCGGCTTGGATAGTCCGATGTTTGACAGGAAAAAGTCCAGCGTGGAGGGATTTCCCGCCGGAGAGATGAAAGTTGGTTCGTCCGGAAATTGCACAGTGTACAGACCATGTTGTGCGTGGTCGAACAATAGACATCCGTTCCGGTTCCTCTGATAGTTCCTCCAAGCTTCATGGCGGGCGTTCAGGTCGCCCCCAACGATGAATCGGGAGCTAGTACGGGTGATGGCGGTCAGGTCCTTCTTGAATTGGATTCCTAATCCGTTGCTTGCGGTACACTGGCGTGGGCAGTAAA